TCCCCTGTCTCCTACCCCTCTCCCCTGTCTCCTACCTCTCTCCCCTGTCTCCTACCTCTCTCCCCTGTCTCCTACCCCTCTCCCCTGTCTCCTACCTCTCTCCTCTACCTCCTACCTCTCCGTTAGCTCGGTGAATGCGAACGCTAGCAGGTCAGCGAGCATGCCCGTCCCTTTCATCACGATGACGGGCAGCTGCATCTTGAGATGAACGAGCGCCAGATCGACGACCGCCGCGTCACCCTGCATCACGATACCGATGACGGGGACCTCCGCCGTCATGCAGCGTGCGTTCTCCTCCTCCGTCTCCATGTTGAGCAGTACGTCGTCGCTCCTACCCGCCCCTGAGAAACGACGATCGAAACATGAATTCTGTGCGTATGCACTCGCGCACTATGCACACGAAATACACTGCGCTACAACTAAAACACCGAAATGCTGTCCCTGAATTTGTGTGCACTCGCGCACTATGCACACGAAATACACTGCGCTACAACTAAAACACCGAAATGCTGTCCCTGAATTTGTGTGTACACGCACTCACGCACTATGCACACGAAATACAAATTACGATGTGCTGCAGCTAAAACACCGAAATGCTGTCGAACAGAAAACTACGTATATAGTAAAACTCACTATTTCCTCAAATCTAACATGTTCTATTATGGGAACTTTCAGAAAGTGCCTCTAGCCTTATTATAATAATTTATTAGGATCGGTATTTTTCTAGAAACTAATAAGAAGCCTCTTAGAATGCATGTGCATTTCTCTTATGTGTGTATGCACTTGTGCATGTTATTGTTAGAGAGCGTGGACAGGGAACGACAGGAGCGGCCTTTGTGGGCAGGTGGTCGTTCTATGAAGGAAGTTGTAACTGCCTTGAAAGGAAAATTTTGAAACTGGCCCTTTATGGAAAGACGAATGTTTTACTGACGTGACTGTTAACTCGGGTCTCTCTCTCTGTATGTATATTTACCTCACCCAAGGAGGTAATGTAATCGGTCTCGTGTGTGTGTTCGTGTGTGTGTGTGTCCAGTCAGCGCGGCGCGATCGATAGCGTGTCGAGTCAGCGAGCGGTGAGTCTGCAGCAGGCAAGTCAGTCAGCAGCAGCCAGCAGCGAGCCAGCTCGTAACACATACATGTTACATGCTGGCAGAGATATGCACTCTCCGTGAGTGTATGCGTGTATGCTTATATGTGTATGCGTGTGTGTGTGCGTGTGCAAAAAGGAATTAAAGGGACTGTTTTAATCGTTACTGTTTTGGAAGCAACTACACACAGAAATTTCGCAAACATGTCAATTAATATCAAACCATGTAAAAGGCTCGTTTCTGCCCTACCTTGTTCGGATTCTGATGGTCTGCTATTCTGACGACTATAACCACCAGGACAGCTCATGCGCCGATGAACTCTCACCTGGAATATTGTCATACCTGCAAACCATGAAAATGCAAGTTTTCAACCCACTCCACCATGCAAAAGATACGCATTACCACCAGACACAAAAACCACTGCGCTGCAACTAAAATACCAAAATGCTGTACGAACTACGCATAGTACAACTCACTATTTGATAAAATCTAACATATTCTATTATGGAAACTTTCACAATATTTTATAAGAGCATGCGACTGCTCAAACCTTGTTATAATTAGCATCGGTATTTCTTTAGCAACCAATAAGGAGCTAAAGGTATTCGAGAGTTCATTAATAAATGGTCATACAGAAAAATAAATGACGTAAGGTTGTCTACCCGACTTATCAGGTGTAGTGTCGTCAACCAGGAGAAAGTGGGTGTGATACGGATTGAGTTCACCCTTATCGCCGACCAAACGTTTGTCTCCGTTCTTGACCATGACTGTGGGTCCCCGCTGAGGATATTTTGAATTGTCACCTGCTAGGGCATCTTCATAATCGATGAGGGTAGTGTTTGCTATGCCAATAACGATGAGCTTTGGCAGACGTTGGTGTCTTCGAATGCCCTCCTGCATAAGACAGATGGCACATAGCTAATACAAACACTCTCTCACACAAAATCTTAACACTGAGTGCTCAATCTTCCACGTTCAGGAACCCCACAGCGTAAAATATAAGATTTTGTTTTTTAGAATATGAAAATTCCAGCAGACAAACACACGTTTCATTTACCTACACTACATAATACGGCACAAACCTGTACGTAAACATTATGCATGTAAGATGTTTCCCGCTTGAGTTTCTCTTGGCGAATTGCATCTCCGATCAGGTTGGCAATGCCTCGATCCATGCCATTTGTAAGAATCCATACCGGAGTTGTATTGGCTGCCTGCACAAACACACCTTACATGTAAATATACAACACAGTCACACATGGCATAGCGCTTACACACAATATAAATTGCAATCCATCTGTGAAGCGAAGAATAATTTTTGCCCTTGATACACAAACACAATGACATACACAATGATAATTTTTTTTTGGCATAAATGACGTTGATGGAATTCAATTGACAAAACAGTCTCGGAAACTTGGGTTGGTTCTAGTGCAGATTTTAGACACCATCGTTACCTTGACAAGGCCCATTTGGAACCTCTCTTTCTGGTGTTGATCGTGCCACCTCTTCCGGGTATTCGTGGTTGAGAAGATGCTGAGTATTATGGATGGAGGTTTCAAGTTCCATGCGTAGCGTAAGCAGTTGAACCAGTCATTACTCGAAGCATTGTATGGCAACCGCAAGTATGGCTTGGGCTATGAACGTGATGTGGGAACACCATTAGCATCAGGAGTAGAGACTTAGTGCATACTCTGTTGACACGCCGAGTTACTTCTTCGTATATAAAGAACTGCTTTTACTCAACGAACAGATTGGGAGCTGCTACATGTATCATTATGCATGAAAACATTTAGCAATTAAAATTATCTATAAATTGATGCTCAGCAATACTAGATAACTCATATTTCATGTGTAAAAGAAACGCCCTCTGTTATGCAATGATGCCAGGCTGCTGTTGGCTTGTATGTACTCTAACCCTAAAATATGACTGTATGGTCGAGGTACACACATTACTATAAAAGAAACCATGCATATACACGTATCACACGTTTTTATGCCAATGAAATGTGAGACTAATATGCTGAATAACAAACACAAAGAGAGTCGTATTATTAGCTGTTTCATTTAAAGTTATATTAATAGTTTACCATGTTGACTATTTTTAATTAATTTATGTTTACCCAATAAATATTACATACCTCAGAATCTATCGCTATATCTTCATCACTACTGAAGGAAACGTATGATACTGGGTTGCCTCCAGTTGGGTTAGATGAAAATCGATCTGTAGTGTATTCATATTAAAGACATTAATGGTTGTAAACATTGGTATAGTGTTCACAACATGTTTGATTGGAATATTTTCATTGAGTTCTAGTTTTATTCTATATCAGCAGTGTTTGAAATAAGGGCTATCCGTTTGTCCATTTCCACGGAGGACAAGTAGACCTGTCCAGTAGCTTGTCCGCTGGACAAGCAGCTTTTTATAGCAACCTTTTAGAGCAATTTTTCATTATTTTCTACAATCGCTGGTCAGAAAGTCAGACTCATGACTGAGTCCTGACCATGTATTGTTATTATAAAACTTTGAAGCTTCAACTTTGTTAAGACAAGTAATAACTAAAATAAATAATTGTGCTTCTTTAATATGTTCTTTCAAGTTTGGTGCCTAATTTGAACTGTTATAATAAACTGCATTAAAATTACAAGTAAGATATTGGGTCTAAAATTTAATTTGATTAAATGTATTACACATTACTATATTTCTATGTTATTAATCAGGACAAGCAAAAATATATTGTAACTTGTCCGTCAGACAAGCAAAATGTTTTCCTTATTTCGAACACTGTATCAGTAATATCTGTTGTGACACGGGGCAGCCTGCAGAAGCATTGCATTAGAACGGTGGTGGTCACGGCAGGTTGTTTACATTTTCACAAACTAAATTCATCACTTCACAATGTGTATTTGTGTTATACGTGGCATTTTAGGAACATACACAGGCACTTGAAACATTTCAATACAAAAAAATAATAGTAAATAAACAAAATGTATTTACTACCAGTCTTAATGTTTCTCTACTCTCTTTTGCCTATTATTGCCGATAATTTAATGTAAATGCCATTCAAACGCGTCTCTGCAACACATAAGTACACCGCATGCACGCCGCTGTGCACAAATAACAAGAATAAAGAGGCTCTTTATATTCTTGTCGTTTGGGTTCAAGGAGATCCAAGAGCTGTCCCCCAATACATTTTCGCAATGTGCGACATGTGAAAATGTGGACAGCTCTTATAACCTTGGGCCGTTGTTTGTGCACAACGGCGTGCGTGCGGTGTACTTATATGTGTTGCAGACGTGCATTTGAACGTCCTTTACAGGAATTGTTGTTTGTGCGCACAGCAGGGTGCGTGCGGTGTACTTATCAGGGGTGTATGCAGGGGGGGGGTCGTGAGGGTCGTACGACCCCCCAAAAATTTCAAAAAGTCCACATTTTTCTAAAGATAAATGAATAAACATAAATGAAAAAGCATAATTGATCAGGTACCAGCAATGAGTCCAAAGACCTTGCCAATTGCGTGACGTAAATCTATCCCAATTCCAGCAATTCTGAAACTGAGCCTGCCATCCGCTTCAAGCTGGTGGCGCTGTAATCGATTTTCCTGTCTCCCAGCAACTGATCGCAACTTGCTGACTGTATTACTTGCGTTAGTTGTTGCCGGGGCCGGTACTGTTAAAGTTCGATATTGTTGTTTGCGCGCGTCGCCTTTGCTAGGCCTACCTGTGGTGAACAGCAACGCAGGCCCGGACGTCATGAACAGTTCAACTACACACCAGCCACCAATGCCAGTCAGCTGAGTACTTCCGTTTAAACTTAAGGTAGGCTACCTTGATTAGACACGATTTCGTACAACCTGGACATTCAGCGATAATCAGGCCAAGGGCAAGGCATAATTTTTACTGCTAATTTATTCCACTTTCAGCATGCCAGGCCGAAGAGGTGAGGAGAGAAGAAATAATAAGCGAGCATCAGAAACCTGCCAAAGTATCACTAAGTTTTTCAAATCTTCAACATCGTCTACCAGCAGCTGCAGCGTGACAGAGGAAAGTCGTGCTGCCATCCAGAGCGGCCCGTCAGAAGAGAGTGATGTGATGCAAACGGGCGTCCAAGTTCAGTCAATTAATGACCAGTCTCAATCAAAAACTGTTGAAGAGAATCTTAAATATGACCTGGGACAAATCTTGACAGCAACAATGTCTGTACCCGATATTAAGACTAAGATAAGAGCCCTGTCAGATGATCAAAAGTACACTCTGTTAAAGCATCATTCAAAACCAGGTGATGACTACATCTTCCCGTCTCAGTACGAAGGTGGGTGTAATCGCTCCTTCCAAAAAGACTGGCTTGATAGCTACCCTTGGTTAATCTACAGCAAGTGTCTAGCTGGTGCGTTCTGTCTATACTGTGCATTGTTCGCCTCCAGGGTTCTCCCCAGGATGAAATTGAAACAAGGAGGAGGGGGAGGGGAGAGGGGGAGGGGGGAGGGGGAATGGGAAACCAGAGGGGTCCGGGGAGCGTGTTTTTTTACCGTAATGCGTAAAATCGCCACCACACCATAGACGGTATTTGGGGTACTTGTATATAAGATAGCCGAGTCGGTTTACAGTTAGTGGTAGGGTTTGGGACAGGGTGACTGTTTGTACTTGTGCATGCGTAGTGTGATGTTTACGCATTACTGGTACGGTAAAAATACACGCGTCGGTGGTCCTGGTCGAATGGGAATTCTTGACGATCGATTCTGTAACGATTCTGTCAAACTTTTATTGTGGTGGAATTTAATTGGGGCGGAGGTAATTTAAACGGGGTGCAACGATTGAAACGTGGGCGGAGTTTCCCAAACGGGGCGGGCGCGCCCGGTTTGCACAACGAAGGGAGGGGCCTGGCCTCTCCAAGAGACAACCTCGGGATCCTGGTCAACAAACCATTGACCAAGTGGCGGAAGAAGTCTGAATACATTGGACCTCATGCCATAAAAGGCCACCATATTGAGGCACAAAATGCTGCTATGGATTTCATTGCTAAAATTGACCATCCTGAAAAAACGGTAGAGGCTTACTCAAAGTCACGTTCCAGTCAAAACTATGAGAATAACCTTCATATTCTACGGTACTGTGTGGAAGCTGTGCTCTTCTGTGGTCGGCAATGTATAGCCCTTAGAACAAGAAATGTCAAAGCTAGTTCATGTAGCGATGGTAGCAACCCCGGCAATTTCATTGCCCTGCTGAGAAGTTTTGCACAACGTGATGACGCTCTTCTGAAACACTTAACTGAGCCTACACAGAAAAATGCTACCTATACCTCTTCTGTCACACAAAACCAAATTATCGAGATAATCGGAAAGGATATTATCCAGAAAAAAATCGTAGAGGAAATAGAGAAGGCCAAGTTCTTCACAATTCTCGCAGATGAAGTAGAGAGCCATAATAGAGAAGTGTGCTCGCTCTGTATCAGATTTGTTGATGCTGAGCAGAATATCAGAGAGGAGTTCGTGGTCTTTATAGGACTAGTGAGACTGAAAACAACTGGCAAGCACATTGCATCAGCAATCAAGAAAGCCATAGAGAACTTGGGACTGGATATTGAACACGTCAGAGGACAAGGGTATGATGGGTGCAGTGCTATGTCCAGTGAAGCAGTTGGTGTTCAGGCAGTTATGAAGAGATCATCACCCAAAGCACTGTATGTACACTGCTACGGTCACTGCCTAAATTTAGTGATCGCTCATAGCTGCAAACTTGCCAATAAATGTAAGAAACGTGATTGACATCCTGAAGGAGACCTGTCTGTTTTTCTTGCACAGCCCTAAGAGAACGGCTCTTCTGGAGAGTATAGTTCAGGACGAAGTTGCCCAAAAGTCTAAAAGGAAAGCCATCCTGAACTTATGTAAAACTCGATGGGCAATGCGTCACGTAGCATATAGTCACTTCTACACAAGCTTCGTATATATTGTGAAGGCTGTGGAAGTAATTGCCTACTCCCTCCACCAGGACACTATCTCCGCCGACTTCACCTCAGGCTGGGACACCGACTCCAAAGCAAAAGCATCCTCGCTGATACGTGCTCTTTGTTCTTTTGACTTCATAGTAACATTCCTTGTCGTGTACAAGATGCTGTTATATCTGAGTGGCATTACTGTGAAGCTACAAGGAAGGTCCACAGACATACTACAGGCATTTTCGGATGTTGAGGAGATCAAACACGTTTACTCGGAACTTAGATCAAATGTTGACAAAGAATTTCAGCAGATCTATGAACATGCCAAGAGAATGGCCTCTGCTGTGGACGTAGAACCATCTCGACCACGGATCACAGGACGTCAAACACACAGAAGTAACATTCCAACAGATGTAGTGAAGAATGATGTAGAGAGTTACTACTTGAGGAATCTTGCCATTCCCTTCCTCGATAACATTATAATGCAGCTTTCCGAGAGATTTTCTGATGTTGCCCGTCAATGTGCTGGCCTGCTTGCTCTAGTACCAACCAACAGGGAAAACCCCACAGCAGATATGAAACAAAGTCTCTCAAAGAAGCTGTGACGATTTTCCAGGATGACCTACCAAACCCTGAACTTGTCGATGAAGAGCTTCTCCACTGGAAAGTGCACTGGGAAAAAGTCCCGAATGACAAATTGCCAAAGTCAGCTGCTCAGTGCCTAAAGAAATGTGACATAACCTTGTTCCCAAATATATTTACTCTCTTGAAACTTCTGTGCACACTACCCGCAACGTCGTGCGAATGTGAGCGAACCTTCAGTGCTCTACGCAGGCTCAATACCTATAACCGTTGTTCCATGACGCAGGAAAGAATGTCTAGTTTAGCCCTCATTCATATACACTACGAGAAGAAGGTTGATGTAGAGGAAGTGGTACGTGCATTCTGCCAAAAGCAACCTAGACGAATGCATTTCGGGCATGTCCTAAAGGGTCGACTCTGACTAGAAGAGACACTGAAATGATTGGTTTTGTGTATTTTTTTGTTTCAATTAAATTGTATTGACATTTTAATCACATCTTGCTGTTATTTCATTGTGAAAAGGTCCAAAAAATTATAATCACGACCCACCCAGAAAAAATCCTGGATACACCCCTGCTTATGTTATTATCTGTTAGGTTGCAGAGGAGCATTTGAACGGCATTTACACGAGGTTATCGGCAATAATAGGCAAAAGAGATTAGAGAATGGGTTGTAACAAATACACTTCGTGTGCACTTTCCATTATTTTTTTTTGTATTGAAACGTTCCAAGTGTCTGTGAGTTTAATAATGTGGCAATCAAATACTGGCAGCGCGGCTACGGGTTCAATGAATGATGTATTAGGTGACTCCCCATGCATTTTCGCAATGTGCCCTGCACATGTGCAATGTGCAAATAACGAAATGTGGACAGCTGTAGTGTTATATCCTTGTGGCAGCTGTGGCCGGCTACGAACACTGGCAGCAAGAACAAGTCCGCACCTGCAACGTTGTTATATATAGTCAATAGGTGCTGTAGCTGCAGGTGCGGACTTGTTCATGCTGCCAGTGGCTACGAACAGTTATGCTTGCGTTTCAGCTTTTCGTTGGGACAGCTTTTCGTTGGGAGAATGCAGTTTAAATTACCTTCCATTTCCATGGCCGATGCAAGTTTACTTTCGTACTTCTATCAATGAAGTAAGAATCTGCAGCAAGACTAGTACATCATACCACACCAGAGAGGGTAAACATACTTTACATAGGCTAACGATATCAAGACACGACACTTCTCTGGTCACTGGTGTTTATGTTGGCTGTTGTTTATGTTACCGCACCGGCACGCCACCGTGCAAAGGCGAGAGGTGTGACTATAGACTGGTACCCGTTCGCCACCTTTACTCCGGCATATATCCCATAGAAATCTTATTAACACTAGAACGGCCGTTGCCCAATCATGACGCGCAATACGGTG